TTTTTTTTTTTTTTTTTTTAAATTTATAGGCCGCCCAATCCCGAAGGACTCCGGGCGGCTTACAGAAATAAAAATATTAAGAAGAAGATTAAAAGCAAACAAAACAAGGCAGATTAAAAAAACACATCATGCACCCAGTCTAAGCGGGGCTGGACCTCAATCCAGAGGTCAACAGCCCCAGGCCTGCCGGAAAAGCCAGGTTTTGATAGCTTTTCGGAAGGCCATGAGAGTGGGAAGGGTCCGAATCTACGGGGGTAGCTCGTTCCATAGGGACGGAGCAGCAACAGACAAGGCCCTACTCCGAGGTGTCGCATTGTCCAGCTGATGGCACCTGGAGAAGGCCCATCCTGTGCGATCTTATCCGTCTTAGGGAGTACTTGGCTTATGACCATAATTAAGCCTAAATTGTGGTCGTAATTCAAGTTGGTTAAGTGGGTCATCACATGACCACACCCATTTAATGACCTTTTTGTAGTAATTAAGAAATGCCATGGTATTTCTTCCAAAAACAATTTCTTGCAAAACAATTGTATCCAATGGGCATTTTTTTTGCAGGAAACGAGAAGGGAATGCCAGTTGGCAGACAAAAATGGTCACATGACCATAGGAAGCTGCAGACGGCCATAAATGAGAGCAGGCTGCCAGAGTCCTTCGGGATTGGGCGGCCTATAAATTTATTAAATAATAATAATAAGCACCCAAAATCCCATATCCCAAGGCAGGCAGGCATGGGAATTTCTACACCAGGCCCACCGCAACTTCAACTGCCCAAAGCAGAGGACTATTTCTACACAAGTCCAGGTTAATAAGATTTTTTAAATCATTACTCTAAGACTGATGCACCATCTGTATATAAAATAAAAGGATTCAATGCCTTTTCTACTCGTGCAACTTTAAAGGAGGGTCTTAAAAACGCATCTTCTGTTTACACAGTAGCAGAAATGATTCATAAACAAATTAGTCACTGGAAAGTTTCTGCAAACGACAAAGTAGTAAAAAAAGTGGACCACAAACAACATTAATACACCAGGAGATATTTTGCAAAAAAGAAACTTGAAATGTCTAGATCAGTGTTTCTCAACCTTAGCAACTTGAAGATGTCTGGACTTCAACTCCCAGAATTCCCCAGCCAGCATTGGCCAAGGTTGAGAAACACTGACTCTAGATGAAAAATCACTTCCATTCTCATAATTTATTCATACAATCAGCCGTACAATTACCGATGAACATATAACAGCGAACGCTGGCTGGGGAATTCTGGGCGTTGAAGTCCGGACATCTTCAAGTTGCCAAGGTTGAGAAACACTGATTTAAAGCCTCAGATACCTTCATCCTCTTCAGTGGAAAGACAGTGGCTANGCTGGCTGGGGAATTCTGGGAGTTGAAGTCCGGACATCTTCAAGTGGCCAAGGTGGAGAAACACTGTATTTAGAGGACAACCCGAACCAATCCTCAATACTTTGATTTGGAAGATTGAATTTTAGCCGGGACTGGATTTTCCTAACATAGACATGCGCCATCAAATCATACAGTACTTTGCTTATTTATGTGTTTTACATTTTATAGAATCATTCAATTATACATAGTGTACATAGTGATACTAAGCTGATTCCTTTTCTAACCCTACTCCCAAATTCTGCCATTTCTCTTACAACAGCATAGCCAGCAAGGTACCTGTCTTCATCAGATTTCTATTCTTAAAATGTTTTGGATTTGATTAAGTTAAATTGCCTGTTTGTACATCCCATCAGTATGTATCCCTGTTCTGATTGTGGCTTTTGCTTCCAATAACAGTTACATGGGTAGATTATAACTCAGTTAAAGAAATAATTAATTTGTATATTGTAGTTTCTAACACTTTATAAGCATCTTATGCTATATCTCCTCTTTAAAGTAGAATCATTTTATTGCAACTGATTATGAGCATTTCAGAATTACTTACCCAGGATTTGTAGTGAGAATATAGAAAAGGTAACAAATATAACCAGAAATTTCTTAATTTCTAGTTTAGTTTGATAACTACTGTATCATTTATCCCAAGTAGCCTGCCTGTGTTTGGCCTCTAAAGCATACACACAGGTGTTATAGTGGCAGAAATAACCAGAGATTTTTGTTTATCCCCTTACCCTTTTGGGTTTGCATAAAATCACAATGTATTCTGCATCTGTCTTGGAACTAGTTTAGTGTGAACTTGCCAAGATTGGCAAAACAGCTCAATATTGCGTGTAGCATAGCTTAGCTATAATTTATTGATAACACCCAACATACTAAATCATAATTCATAGTTTGTAAGCAATAATGGATGGGTTCATGCAACATGCTAAAGACCTTGGCACTAGTGATGTGATGGGCACTCATGACCATCTTTCATGCTGTTCCAGGGACCAGAGCTGATCGAAAAAGCGAATGGACTCCATAGCTTCATGAACTGGCCAAGGAACCTGCTCACAGTGAGTATGGCTGAGGAAGTTGTCTTTACCTGGGAAATCAATCCTTTTGCTGTAATTGAGCTTTGTTGTAGTTACAAAAAACAGAAGACAGTGACCTATATTACAGGGGATACCCCCTAGGTCAGTGCATGGAGCTCTGCCGGGCTGGAGAAGGGGGATGCGTGAGCGCCTGTTCCACCCAAGCAAGCATACCTCCCAGCCTCACCCAGTTCTTCCTGCAGAGCCAGGCGCCACCGTCACCGCCGCGCTCCGAGCATAACTTCTTCTCCGGCTTCCAAACTCCAAAACTCAGCTGCCGAGTCTTCCAGCAGCGGCCGCTCTAGGAGTGCGCTCTATGGTTGTGGGCCAGCTGCAGGAGAGAGAGTTTTCCAGACAGAGAGTCTTCCAGCAGGTAGCCCACAACCAAAGAGTGTACTCCTAGAGCGACCGCTGCTGCAAGAGTTGGCAACCGAGTTTTGGAGTTTGGAAGCCGGAGAAGAAGTTATGCTCGGGGCGCACCGGAGCCCTGGCTCTGCAGGGAGAGCTGGGCCAGGGCATGGCGAGGCTGGGGGCAGAACAGGCGCTCACGCAACCCCCTTCTCCAACCGGGCAGAGCTCCATGCACTGACCTAGGGGGTATCCATAATGTGCCAAGCCGCGGGAGATGGGGAACTGGCAGAGCGCCATGTGGCTTGGCGCCTTAGGGATACCCCTAGGTCAGTGAATGGCGCTCTGCCCAGCTGGAGAGGGGATTTGCCGGGCAGCTGCTCGTGAGCGTGGTCACCTCATGGCTGCTTCGCCCCTGAGGCTGTGCCCGGCTCTTCGGGAGCCCACTTGCGAGGGAGCAGCTGCCCGGCAACTCCCCCCTCCAGCCAGGCATAACGCCACTCCCCAGTCTAGCGGTATCCCAAAGGCGGCAAGCAACGTGAGCGCCTTCTCCCCTGGCTCCCGCGCTTGGCACCTTTTGAGAAAACATACCCTCAGCAAAATGCATGAACCCGGTCATTTTTATATTACTGGCATACAAAATCCATAATTGTAGTATGCAGAAGAATCTGGTTTAACGTATTATACTAAGCCATAGTGTACTTTGCTTGATTTTGATTTGGTACAATGTGTAAATGTGTGGGGCACCTTATAGGGCTGGTAGTGAATGCAGCTCATGTGTGAAGGGACACTTGTTACCATTACACAATGACCAGTTTCCTTTCAAACTGTCTCTTCTGCAGGATAGTGGTGGTTTTCAGATGGTGTCTCTGGTGGAGTTCTCCAAGGTGACAGAGGAGGGAGTGCATTTCTGTTCTCCTTATGATGGGAAGCCGATTCTGCTCACACCTGAAAAATCCATCGAAATACAGAATGCTCTTGGTAACTATTCTGTTTTGTATAATAATATGACTGGCTAACCCAACGCTTCCTTTTGTTTTTATAATGGTAGTGATAGTTCCCTCCCTCCATGATTGTCCATCATGTCAGAAATACCTGATTAGGAATTTTTTTTAAAAAAAATAGTACTGCGGAAAATAGTTCAGTAGCTCACAAGCGCTCTACTTGACTCCGTGGGCAAATGTCAAAACCGCGCCCGACTAAACCGCATCGCTAAAACCGCGACGTCATCAATGCGGCGACAACAGCGCGGAGACAACAGCACGGAGACAGAAGGGCGCTTTACAACAGCGCTTATAACAAGGTAAGGGTTAGGTTTAGGGTTAGGTTTAGGGTTAGGTTTAGG